CTGAGCTGGGCTGGCGCCGGCCCGGGGCGGGGCGGGCTTGGGGCCGCCCCGCGGTGCCTCCCGGCCGTTCCACCCCGGCCGCCGAGCGCAGCCCGCCCGCTCCGAGCAGCCCCCAGTGTCTCCACCCCCGCGGGAGCGGGGATGCGGCCGGCGCCGTGCTGTGGCCGCCCCCGAGCGGAGCGTGGCCGCCGGCCCCGGGCGGCCCGGTGGATCTTCCACCGCGGCGGGAGCCACGCGGTTTCCAGTTCCCCGCAGCGCCCGCAGTCCGGGCCGGGAGGACGGAGCCGCTCCCGGGGTCCCCGGGCAGCTCCCGCTCGGTATTCGCAGGCTCCTCCCGTTCCYCCGCGTTTCCCGGGAGAGCGGGAGCTGTGCTGGGAGGGTCATGGCCGGGAGGGCGCGGTCTCCCCGGGCTCCGCTGTTCGACAGCGATCCTGACCTGTCCCTGTTTCATTCTGCAGGTTGACTCCTTCAGGGAGCGGATTACGAGTGAGGTAAGTGTCACAGCTCGAGAAGGAAAGCGGTTTCTTTGCCATTATYTTCCCGACAGACTCGATTGCGGGTTGAGCCTGTCCTGGATGTTTAGCAACACSCAGAGCATCAGTCACCCATTGCAGTGAGGCTCTTGGTTCTCACCTGGGTGTAGTGTGCTTTTGGCAGCAGGAGGAACTTGGGTTCTCCCCGTTTCCTGCTTACAGACAGATGATTTCTCTGGTGTTCCTGCTGCTAGTGGGAGCCTCATGGCCTTGTTTCACATCACTGTTCTTTCTYCCTCAGGCTGAAGACCTCGTAGCGAACTTTTTTCCAAAGAAGCTGTTAGAACTCGATGGATTCCTTAAGGTAGGGTGTGCTTTGTTCTCTGCATTCTTTTCCATTTTCAGGTACGCTTTATGAGTGGCGTGGCAGGTCTGCTTACAGATGTTTTCTGTGCATTTTGCCTTGTTGCAGAAACACAAGGCAGCAGCTGGAGGCACATGTGCACTGTTGGCTCTGGAGGGGTGCCTTTTCCAGTTTGCTTTGTGTGATCCCTCACATTTGTCTTTCCATATTCCCCAGTGGGCTGTCCCTGGCAGTGCTGGGGTCTCACAGGGACCCRATGCTCCCTTTTAGGGGGTCACAGCCAATTGCTAGACCTAGTTTTCATTCATTCCAATTTTACAGTTGGATAAGAGAGAGGTCTGAATTTTTTGTCTTCTCGTTGTGTTTGGTGTAGCAGACTGTGTTAATTCATACTAAAATAACAAATCTGCTTCATTTTCTAGGAACCCATCCTGAATATTCATGATCTTACTCAGATCCATTCAGACATGAACCTCCCAGTGCCTGACCCAATTCTTCTCACCAACAGCCATGATGGACTGGATGGGGTAAGGTTACTCCTCTTGGCTAWGATCCCAGCTTCCATTAAAACTGCATGGTTTGCTCTGTGCTGGACTAGGATATTCTTATTTAATAACAGACCTTGCCCCAGAGGCTTTTAGAGATTGATCTCTYGAGCCTGGGAAGTCTGCTGGAGGTAACACTGCTCTGCAGTCCTTCTTTGGCTTTAAGGAAGAATGCTTAGAAACTAGGAACATGGCAGGGCTCTCAGTTTTTCCTTATTTCCTTTGCAACGCTTTTACAGCTTACGACTAGTTTGTGAGTAAAACATTTTGTATATTTTAGCCAAATATGAAAAAGAGGAAGCTGGAAGACCAYGAAGAGACCTTTCAGGGTAAGAATCCCCAAGTCCCTTGTATTGCTGCCTGCCCCCTGAACTGCTGCACTGAGCCTTGGGGATGCAAATTGTGTGAGCCCCACTTGCCCTGCCCTGACAGCAGCTGCTGCTCATACAGGCCAGAGCCYGACCTACAGATGTCTGGATGTGGAGGAGTGAGGTTCCAGCTCTTGGAAGCATAATTAGTACTTCTCTGATAGACATAAGTAGTACTTGGCTTGGACTTGGCCTGCAGACAGAGGCAGCTGATCTCCTGGTGACTCTGTGCTGTTCCTCTCTTTGTCTGGATGAAAATTCCAGGCTTTGGATTAAGCTGAGACAGAAACATCTTGCACGTGTGCACCAGGAAAACCCTTTGTGCTCGAGCTCTTCAGTCTCATCCTGCTGTGTCTTTTCTCTTTTCCTTCCCTYGTGGTAACTGCTGTTATCCCATGTCCCATTTCCCCTTCCCTACAGGTAGCCATAGCCTGGCTCAGTCCCTTTCTGGCCTTGGTGGGAGATGAGGCTCGGGTGACCCCTCGGTCCAGCCCCGCTGTGGCCATTCCCACGAGTCACTAATCCCTAGGGCTTTGTCTCTGCCACAGGTACCAAAGTKTTTGTGATGCCCAATGGGATGCTGAAGAGCAACCAGCAGCTGGTGGACATCATWGAGAAAGTGAAACCAGAAATCAGGCTCCTCATTGAGAAGTGCAATACGGTGGGTGTGAGTCTGGAGTAAGGGGAGGCAGCAGGGTGKTTTTACACCTGGGGAGGTGAAGCTGTGAAAGGAGCAGGTCCCCCTATGCTGTAGATGAGGAAAAGAAGGATTTTGCCCTGTCTGTTCGCCTGGGAGGCAGGTGAAACCCTCTGGCAGCTCTGTTGTTCACCTGAAGGAGGATGTCTGTCATCAGACTCTGCTTTGCCCTTTTGCACAGACACAGACTCCTGCCAAAASCTCCTGTGGCATGGGGAGGAAAGCTTCCCATGGGAAGCTGGGCCTGTGCTGGCCTGCATGGCATCCCAGCCACGTGGGAAGTGATCTTGGGAGTGTTATAGGTGCATAAGGGACCTGCTGCAGTTTATCATGAGCTCTGTGGCAAAGGCAGGTCCTGGGAGGCTTTTACTGACATTACTGAGAGAAGTCATGATGTAAATGTGGGCATTGGTCAGTAATGTGATCTCTTCTCTGCAGGTCAAAATGTGGGTGCAGCTTCTCATTCCCAGGATAGAGGATGGGAACAACTTTGGTGTTTCTATTCAGGTAAGGCATTGCTCTGTGCTCCAGGGATCTGGGTCTCTGGGGCTCCTGAATCTTTCAGTTTGTGGTGTCCAGCAGCTGCAGTCATGGGGTTAGCTTGGATTTTAGAACCCAAACCTGAGCTTGATGGGGTGCTGCTGAGACATTGTTTTCTGGGCCCTGAAGGCCAACTGCAACCTCCTGGAGCTAACAGCTTCTTTATCTTCCCTGCAGGAAGAAACAGTTGCTGAGCTTCGAACTGTGGAGAGCGAGGCAGCATCTTACCTGGACCAGATTTCTAGGTAGGCATGCAAGAACTGATTTCTTTATGGGGATTCCCTTGGAAGGGTTTGGGAAAGGTCCTCCAGCTGTTGTTACAGGGCAGCTTGGACCTGAAAATTATCCTGGTGCTGTTTATCTGAGCTCCAGTCTCTCCATTTTCCTGCCAGATACTATATCACAAGAGCAAAGTTGGTTTCCAAAATAGCCAAGTACCCTCATGTGGTAAGTGACCGGGGACTTGGAGATTTACATGTTCATGCTGCTGCTTCTGGGGGCTCTTTGAGCTGCTTTGTCACTGTCCTTTTTGAGCTGAG